GTCAGTGTATGCTTGCAGCTTTGGATTGGTGGTGGTGGTGTGCCATGGAGTTGGTTCCTACTCATAGCGACCCTGTATAGGGTTTCCAGGGTACAGCTGGGTGAGCTTGAACCACTGACCTTGCAGTTCAAAGTGATCTTGCAGTCCAGCACATTAACCCACAGCGCCACACAGGGTTTTTGGATTACCTTCAGTAAAACTTTACTTGTGTGGGATATCAATGATATTGTCCAATGGTTTCCACATTCTGTTGGATCACCTCTCTTTGGAACGGGCACAACTAAGAATCTCTTCCAGTCAGTTGGCCAGGTACTTGTCTTTTAAATTTCTTGGTATAGGTAAGTGAATGCCTCCAGTGCTGCATCAGCTTATTGAAAGATTTTAATTTGTATTCCATCAATTCCCGGTTTCTTGTTCTTTGTCAATGCCTTCAATGCACCGTGGACTTCTTCCTTCAGGATCATTGGCTCTTGATCATATCCTACCTCTTGAAATGGTTGAACATCGACCGTTTCTTTTTGGTACAGTGACTCCGTGTATTTCTTACATCTTCTCTTGATGCTTTCTGCATCGTTCAATAATTTGCCCATTTTGTTGTTGTTGTTGTTGTTAAGTGCCGTCTCCGACCCATAGTAACCCTGTATAGGAACAGCTGGTGAACAGAATCCTTTAATATCACAAATCGAGGTTTGAATTTTTCCTTCAGTTCCCTCAGCTTTAGAAATGCTGGGTGTGTTCTTCCTTTTTTGGGTTTTCGAACTCTGAGAAGGATACAATAAAATATTATATTCTTAAAAAATGGTAACCATAAGTATAGTGTTTTCCTGAGTTCTATACATAATTCTGATGTAGTCAGCTGATCACAACTATGGGTATCTGAGGGACCCCTGAGTTTATAGTTTAGTGGTGACATCTTGGACTGACTTAACAGTCTGGAGGACTCCCTATCTTTTACTTTATGAAGTCTGGTGTAACTCCAGGTAGTTGGGCACAGAAATGAAGCCTTTGTAAATGTAATTTGGTAAAACCTTCTTGGGGGAACAATTTGCCAGTTTTGATTAAATGAGTTCCTTTATGTGGCCTTTTGTATTGGTTCTTTGGAAAAACAGGCAGTAGGACCAAGAGAAGGCTAGCCTAGGGTCTGAAAGAAGGCAAAGAGCAGCTGACTCTATTTTGGACATGTTTTCAGGAGGGACAGTGTGAAATGCTGTCGGTACCCCAGCCACTGCCTTAGGCATTAATGGATCAGTAGAAACCCTGGACTTGGGTCTTACCCTAATGGGACTCAGGATAGAGAACTGGAGCAGACCACCTTATCTGGTATGAGGTCGCCAATGGTTATCAAGGGTGTTTACAGACACTCAAGAAATCTAATCCATACTTGTTTTAGCGAGAGAGAGTTCTGCTTATTCGATTTTGCAAAATCAAGCATCAGACCCAGCAGATACAGGCAGACAGGAGGCATGGCCAGCTCACAAAATAGTTTTATTTTCCTGTCTTGGAAAAAGTCCCTTCTCCATTTCCCCTTGTACTGGGTATTATGGAGTTTATTATCTTTCCCATAGTGGTCTACTAGTCCTTACTGGAAGCATTCTCAATTTAAAGTGATGTGGGGGGGGGGGCAACTTCCCATTTCCTTGATGGGTGTATTCTTATTTTAAAAGACTCTAGCTGGCCAAAATAGTCTCATCCTATCCTCTGAACTCCTTTTGTTATACAAGCTTGATATGGCCAAGATTCCCCTTAATCCTGAAGATGGATCACCCCAAGAGCTATTTCTCACAGGACCAATCCCCAGAAAAGGATATCATGCTTGGTAAAGTAGAGGGTCAGTGAAAAAGAGGAATTCCCTTAAGGATAGGGATTGATATAATGGCTCTAACAATGGACTCAAATGTTGCAAATAAGGATGGCATAGGACCCATCAGTGTGTCCTTCTGCTGAATACAGGGTAGTTATGAGTTGGAACTTACTTATTAGTACCAGAGCTCTAGTAGCATAGTGGTTATGAATTAGGCTGCTAATCTCACGGTCAGCAGTTCGAAACTACCAGATGTTCCACAGGAGAAACATGAGGCTTTCTGCTCCAGTAAAGATTTACAGGCTCAGAAATCCTGTACAGGGTCACTATGAGTCAGAACTGACTCCATGGCACATAACAACAATAACAACTATAACTATGGTGGTGGTTGGTTATATGCCGTGGAGTCGGTTCCGACTCATAGCAACCCTGCATAGGGTTTCCAAGGCTGTAAATCTTTATGGGAGCAGAAAGCCTCATGTTTCTCCAGTGGGACAGCTGGTAGTTTCGAACTGCTGTCCCTGAGGTTAGCAGCCTGATTTGTAACCACTAAGCTACCAGAGCTCCTTAAAAAGTGAATAAAAGTACTTAAAAATTCTACCATTATGTAAAGAAGGAGGGATGGACATATTGGGCAAATGACTAATCTTTAAAATTTACAGAAAACTTTAAAACTTCAACATGAGGTTAAAATATTAGCTTTACAATAAAACACCAAATTGGCGAAAGAATTTCCTATAAACTGCTTATCATTGGCCAGAGTGTTGTTTTTTTGAATTACATTATGCAGTATGAATCTTAGGTATTGTTGGAAAGTGGAGAGCTTCCTTTCTCACCTAAGGCTTCTAAAGAATTGCTTTAGTGATAATTTTTAAGTGCACAGTAATCTTCATGGTTTTGTATTTCTCACAAATTCAGCTAGTTAATGCCAGGATCTCCTACCATGAGTAAATATTTAGATTTATTATTTAAATCTTGTTGTTGTTGTTGTTAAGTGCCATCGAGTCGGGTCCGACCCATAGCGACCCTGTACAGGGTTTCCGAGGGTGTAAATCTTTACGGGAGTAGAAAGCCTCATCTTTCTCCCGCGGAGCGGCTGGTAGTTTCGAACCGCTGACCTTAAGGTTCGCAGCCCGATTCGTAACCACTACGCTACCAGAGCTCCTTTAGTGAAAAATATACTTACTGGTTAAAAGATTGTAAGAGTAGATAAACATTCCCTTTTAAGTTATCAAAAACATGTGCAATATGCTCTTTATGTTAAACAAAAAGGAGCTGAGGTAATTGACATAATTTGTTTGGTTATTGAACTTAAATTAGAACTGGGTTATTTTATATGCATAGCTCATGTACATTGTTTCTAATTTTTTTTTTTTTATGGTTTAAAAATTCTGCCTTTAAAAAGAAATTCAGATAATTCACCTGACATACATATTTTGACCTTAGATGAGGCTTTCTGCTCCCGTAAAGATTTACAGCCTTAGAAACCCTGTGCAGGGTCACTATGAGTCGGAAGGGACTCATGGGTACTTAACAACAAGAAGTTTATGGGTGTCCTGGTGTGACGCTGTGGCTAATGTGCCAGACTGTAAAGTTGTTTGAACTGCAAGGTGGGTGGTTCAAGCTCACCAGCTGCTTCTTGGAAACCCTATACAGGGTCACTGTGGGTCAGAATCGACTCAAGGGCACTTAACAAGAAGTTTATATTTGTCTCAGTATTGAATTTAAGCCAGTGCTTCAACAGAAGGAAGTTATTGTTTCAAAATAAAGCAAACTTTTATTTACCTGAAAACAAAAAAAGGTCAACAAGAAAAAGACAAAATAATCCAATTTTAAAATGGGCAGAAGACATGAACAGACATTATACCAAAGAAGACATTCACACAGCCAGCAAACATATGAAAAATGCTTGAGATTAGCTATTACTTACTGCCATCCAATCCATCCTGACTCACAGCAACCGTATGTTTATGAGGCTGTAAGGTCGGTAGTGTAGTGGTTACGAATCGGGCTGCTAACCTCACGGTGAGCAGTTCTAAACTACCAGCCGTTCCGCGGGAGAAAGATGAGGCTTTCTGCTCCTGTGAAGCTTTATAGCCTCGGAAACTGTGCCAGGGTCACTATGAGTGGGAACCGACTCCACGATACTTAACAACAACAAGGTCGGTTTGAACTGCAAGGTCGGCCTGCGGTTCAAGCTCACCAGGCACTCCTCGAAAACCCTATACAGGGTCACTAAGAGTAGGAGCCAACTTGTTGGCACTTAGCAACAACAAAACAGCCAGGAACAGGAAGCAATTTCAGATAGAAGGATACGGATTTGCAAAACAGCATGAAAACTGCCAGAGCATGTTTTGGAAATGACCTCAGTAGGGAGGGAGACCTTGGATTTCTTTCCCAGCCTCTTTGACCCCAGCCATACCTTACCTGTCTCATTCTAGCTCTGGGAGGGAGAAAGCCTTTAGCTTAGGACCACTTCAGCTTTTAAAAATTGATGTTTGGTGGAAATCTTATGAATTGTGGGCTAGCATACATTTTGGAGCCCTTTTAAAATGCAATGCACCAAAGAGGAAACGTGGGAGGATTTAAAGCACAATGAAAACACTTGGTGTAAGCAACAACCTACTTCCTACAATTATAGACCTTTATACAAAGATGAGTCAATCAGAAATTAATGTTCTAAACTGTGCATCAGCAGGCTTTGTACCCACGGTGGTTTCAAACTGAATCTACATCACCCAGTAGATTAATTTCTAAACAACAATTTTTTGTTGTTGTTGCAACTTTAGACAGTTTATCTAAAGAAGTAGTGTTTGGTTTGATGGCATTTAAATAAAATTTACAGATTATAATAAAATTCCATAACAAAAAGGATTGTTGTAAATTAATACTGGAGAAAAAGGATAAGAAACCAATTAGTTTGCAACATTGGTAACAAAATTGGTATCTGGAGAATATGTGTCGCTATGAATTAAAACAAACAACTGTACTTTTAAATATTTTCAGGCAAGCAAAGCATTTGCCATGTGCCTTGCAAGATAACTTCACTTGATATATTTTGCACAACTGTGTTCCCAGGCTCGCGGAGACGCTTCCCGTTTCTCGGTCGATTTCTCTATCACGACCATCTTCCTTGGCGGTTACTTCCCATTATTTGGTGGCGCCCCACGTCCTGCTGTTGCACAAGCTCGGTTCCTGTTCAACGGCGCCCGGTGTGTAGCAAGCTGTGTCTATCAGCGGGCTCCTCCGGGTCCCTGAGTTACAGCTCAGACACCGGGTTTCCTGGAACCGTCCAGCTACCTGTCCTGCAGAGGCAGGTAACCTCGCACGAATGCGCGCACATTGGCGGATCCAGGTTCCTTTCCGGAAAAACAGCCTAGCTCCAGAGGAGCCCCTGGCAAGCCCGGCTCCTTTTTTTGCCCGCCCCTTCCCCCCCGACCACGGAGAAACGCGTGTACTTAGGTCCCGCCCTCGAACGCACGGCCCCGCCTCCGAACGCACAGACCCGCCCCCCGTAGCCCGCCCCTAGCCTGGTCTCGCTCTCCATCGGCTCGGCGGCGAAGGAGTCCGAGTCTCAGTGCGCCCTCGGTGTTCTTCTGCCTCCTCGCACGCACGCGCGTCCCGCGCCCCCGGGGGTCGGCCGCGTTCCCGCCCCCTCAACCCTTTTACAACCCTACTGCGCGGCCATGGCCTGGCGGCGGCTGCCAAAACCCAACATCCAGGCCCGCGGCGCGCTAGTGCTGCTGGTTCTGGTGGTGTGTGTGCCGGTGACCCGGGGCCGGGCGTTCGAGTGGTACTCGGCCCGTGTGAGCACCGCGTACTTGGATCCACAGACGAACCTGACGGTGCGGAGCGTCTCTGAGAGTGGTCGCTTCGGGGAACACTCGCCCAAGGAGGGCGCACAGGGCCTGGTGGGCGTCCCGCGAGCGCCAGACCTCCACTCGGAGGGCTGCGCGCCCGATACCCGCTTCCACGTACCCGCATCTGGAGGCCAGAGTGCGGCGCCCTGGGTGGCTCTGGTGGCGCGCGGGGGCTGTACGTTCAAGGACAAGGTTTTGGTGGCGGCGCGGAGGAACGCCTCAGCCGTGGTGATCTACAACGAGGAGCGCTTCGGAAACCAAACAGCGCCCATGTCCCACGCAGGTGAGTGGGCCGGGGACGCGGGAGGTGGAATTGGGGAATCTGTTCATTGTGCGAAGCGGGAGGAGGGAGCGACTTTGATGGTCTTTAGCTGTCTGGAACTAGTAATAAAACACAAGATTTGCTCGGTATGGCCCTCTCAGTGGGGAAGAGAGGCAAGTCCACAGACAAGAATGGAGGCATCTTTGGTCGTTGAGGTGAAGGGAGATGGCTTTTGGAGCAGGGGGATGGTAAGAGCTAAAGAAATTTAAATCCAAAGAGGGTTTGTTCTAACCGTAGAAAAGTCTCATGATTCCTTATCATGGGCCCCATTCTATTCGGCGTTTACACGGTTGCCAGGGGTAGGAATTGCAGCCTTTCTCAGCTCATGCCACTGTCGATAGTCATGGCCAGGTGGCAGTCTGATTTTTTACCTTTCGTGAAATACATGTTGATTGAGCTTCTAACAGATCCAGGATTTAAGTACGGGTGTGTTTTCTCATTTGCTAGATGTAGGGTTATAATACTGATTTATCAAGTTCCTTCAATCTTGAGTTTAAGATGAAAATTTGAAAGTTAGAATTTTCATTACAGAAAACCCCCCAAAAAGCTAAACCCACTGTTGTTGAGTTCATTCTGACTAAAGGACAGAGTAGCACTCACTGCCTCATCGGGTTTTCAAGGCTGTAAATCTACGGAAATATCCTGTCTCATTTTTCTCCAGCAGAGCAACCTTTTGGTTAGCAGCCAGGCTCTTAAACCACTGCACCACCAAGGTTCCTTCATTCAAGAGGACTTGCTATTTGCCAGTTGTATTCTGTGGTAGCATAGCGGTTAAGAATCGGGCTGTGAACTGCAAGGTCAGCAGTTCGAAACTACCAGCAGTACCACGGAAGAAAGATGAGACTTTCTGCTCTTATAAAGATTTACAGCCTCCGAAACCCTATACAGGGTTGCTATGAGCCCAAACTGACTCCAGGCACATAACAACAACATGCTTTCTGCACAAGGAGCCCTAGTGGTATAGTGAGTTATGCAGTAGGCTGCTAACCTCAAGGTTAGCAGTTCGAATCCACCAGCTGCTCCACAAGAGACTGATGAGGATTTCTGTTCCTGTGAACTCAGAACTCATTTTAAGGCACTTAGCAACATGCTTCCTACACACATGAATTCCTCAGGGTAGATGGGTTCCATCTTTGGCACTAATGATAGTTTAAAGTCTTTCCTGATTTGAAAAATGACATCTTTTGGAACTGAATTGCAGATGAAATACAACCAGTACACAACTGAGTGAGTGTATTGCTGTTAGGCCTTGTAGGATAACATGAGCTTTGTGCGTTACATGGGTGATTCATTCTGAAATTACCCTCATTAAAATCTCTTCAAAGTTTTTTTCAGCACTAAGGAAGACTTCCTTTTTTCTATACTTCTGTTTTTGCCTTCATGGATGCAAGTTCAGAACCTAACAATAATATTGAGCAAAATGAGGACAGAAAAGTGACATTGAATTTGGCCTATTTTATTGAAGTGATGGGAATGAAAGCCAGCTGAGAGGTGAGGAAGTAAGAGACAACTCTTTAAAGAAATTTGACTGAAGATTGAGGAAAGTACAGAAATATAGGGCAGAAGATATAGGGATAATAGGGGCAGGATACCAGATGGTAAGGTATATTTCAAGTCTAATAAGAATGTCTTTAGAGACCAGGAAACAGAAGAGAGATGTCTAAAGGTTTGATCCAGAATACTTGGGTTATTTGGCATTGTACCCAAGCCATGCTTCCACCAGACTATCCTGAGAAGTCTTGTCTTATTTCATGTAACAGTCCAGATACCACCTATTGACAGTTTCCCAAGTTTAGTAGTTCTGGCAAAGAAAAAAAGTTAGTGTGTTAATGATTCTCTGATGGAATTCTTCTTGTAATCACTTCTGGGTGCACACACATCTTAATGTAGACTTTTTCTTAAACTGCGTTTTAAAAAAACTTTTATTGTGCATTGGGTGAAGGTTTACAGAGCACATCCGTTTTCCACTCAACAATTCATACACATTTTGTTTTATGCCATTGATTGCAATCTCCACAATGTAATATCACTTACCCCATTTCCTCCTGTGTTTCCCCCATTACCATTCCTTCTTCTTTCCTAACTCTGAGCTTTGTCCTTGGGTAAATGCTACCCTTTTCATCTCAAATGGTTGATTCTAAGGAGTGCTTGCCTCCCACCCCCCAGCATTTTTTGTTCATCTTACAGATGTGTCTGTTGTTTGATTGAAAACTGAGCAACGGAGCTATTCTTTTCCAGGCCTGAAGTGTGGCTTAAGGGCTGTAGTTTCCGGAGTCTCACCAATCTCTGCCCAACCAGTAAGCTTGATCTTTTTTATGGTTTTGAGTTTTGTTTCACATTTTTCTTCCATTCTTCTAGGACCTTCTAACGTGATCCCTTTCAGAGCTTAACTGAACTTTTTTTTTCTTTTATGGCATTAATATCTTTTGGTGCTAATAGTAAGAGGCCCTGGTGGCTAAAACGGTTGCAGGCTCAGCTGCTAACTGAAATAAAAAGTTGAACCCACCCAATTATTCCATGAGTGAAAGACCTGGCAATCTACTTTTATAAAGATTGCAACCAAGGAAAGTTGGTTACATAGGTTGGTATGAGTCAAAATCACCTCAAAAGAAGCTAACAACAGCATGCTGATAGCACTTGTTCTAACCATGTCTCAGTAGTCTTGCTTATTTGCATTTCTGTTGTTGTTAGGTGCTATCGAGGGGGTTCCGACTCATTGTGACCTTATGTACAACAGAACAAAACACTGCCCAGTCCTGTGCCATCCTCACTACTGTTATGTTTGAGTTCATTGCGTATGTTGTTGTGAAGTGCTGTCGAGTCGGTTTCCTAGGAGCAGCTGGTGAGCTTAAACTGCCGACCTTGCAGTACAAATGGCTTTGCAGTCTGGCTCATTAACCCACAGCGCCACACCAGGACTCCATTGCATATGTTACTAACATGTAATTTATATATTGTTGTTAAGTGCCCTTGAGTGGATTCCGACCCATAGCAACCCTTTGCATATAGATCCAGAGAATGGGATGCATGTTCATTATAACCCCTCTTTTTGTGAACTTTGGTTCCCATTATCAATGTCCATCCTAGCCTTTTTTGTTTGAGAGAAAAAACAAAGGAGCTAGCAATTTTTTAAAATGTGTAAATATGTCTGCCACACATGTAGCTACTCTGCTCTGTTCTACATACAGTAGCTCATTTAATCATCCTAACAGCCCTCTGAGGTAGGCACTCTAATCTCATTTTACAGATGAGGAAACTGATAGAGATTAAGTGATTGGCCCAAGATAACATAATGATGAATGAAGCCACACTTCAAAGCCAGGTTTTTCTTTTTCTCTGAACTCTCCGTATCTGTTCTTTCTCCCACTTCACACAGTTTTCCAAGTAAGAGTTGAGGAGCTGACTTTTTTGTTGTTATTCATCTGTAGCATACCTTCAGCTTCAGCTTCAGGCAGTAGAATTAACCTTTCTTCCTTGGTCTTTTTTGTTGCCTGTTTAACTTTAAAAATGTTTTGATGGTTATTAACATATGCAAACCCGAGTTCCTTGTGATTCCAGCCACTTGCTTTTTAAAAGTCTGTGCCACCAATGCCATGCGCCCTTTCCCTTGTGTTTTTATGGAGTCTTTAAAGTGAGGTCCCTTATCATCAGGGTGGTACTTTCACTTGCATCTTTTCTTACTCAACTTGATTGTTTTGTAATTGCAGTTAAGTTTTGAAAGTTTTCAACAGCCTTAAGGTGACCTCCCCTTCTGGTCTACTGAATTTCTCCGAGTCATCATCTTAACATATTAACTTTCTTGGTGGCCTAGAGTTTTCCTTTTCTGCTAGTAAATGCAAGATGATATGGGGTTTTTCTCTAGTGTCTTTTTATCCGTGGCCAATTATTTTCTCTTTGTTGTTTTAAATTAGTTTCAAACCCATCAATGCCCTTTACTAGCTTTTTGCAACTTTTTGGGAATCATTGAAAATCTGGTAAAACCACTGTCACTTCCCCACCCTATCCCTAGTTGCCCCCTGCCACAGCTGCAAATATGCCCCAATACACAAATTCATACCATAAGGGGATGGATGAAATCCATAGAGCCCAAGGACTCACGAACCTCAATGATTTTTTTCATTCTGGGAGACGAAAGTCAGGAATTTATAGTGATAATGCTGGTAAGAGGGGTCTCTGGTGTGGTGCTGTGGGGTAATACACTGGACTACAAAATCGGTTTGAACTGCAAGGTCGGTGGTTCAAGCTTACCAGCTGCTCCTCAGAAACCCTATACAGAGTTACTGTGGGTTGGAACTAACCCGATGGTGCTTAACAATAACAACAGCATCCTGGTAAGATAGGCACAGGACCACAAGGTCAGTTTGAACTGCAAGGTTGGAGGTTTAAACCAACCAGCCACTTCTCAGAAACCCTATACAGGGTCGCTGTGGGTTAAAACTGACTCGACAGCACTTAACATCAACAGCAACATCAAATGAGATGAACGGTGTAAACAGAGAACTAGACAAACATCAGTTGGTATTTTGTGGTGTGTCTGGCCTGAGCCAAAGACAGAAATACAGAGTTTAAGACCTTTAAGAGCCTACAGCCTATTAGGCAGTAAAGTCAAGATAAAATGAGATCAGGAGTCATAAAGGCCATCTGTTTGATAGAGTTTGGGATTAATTTATGCCTTAGAGTGATTGAGGAGAACTGGTGTGGCACTGTAGGGTAACCTCAAGGTCAGCAGTTCAAACCCACCAGGAGCTCCTTGGAAATTCTATAGGGTCGCTATGAGTCAGAGTTCACATGATGACAGCAACTACTAGAGTGATTGAGAAAAGCATCTAGTAAGTTGAGTGGGTGATAAACTAGACCAGATCATTGTTGTTAAGTGCCATGACTCTGACTCATAATGACTGGATAGTTTCCAAGGAGCTCCTGGTGGGTTTAAACTGTGACTTTGGAGTTCGCAGCCCAGT